ATAGCCTATTTTGTTTCACGAGTTTGTGTTTTTTTCCGATGGTGCTAACCCTCCTCAGTAGTATCATACATAGTGTTAGTAGAGGTTTGTATTTTGGTTTTTTAATATAACAGGCAGAGAAAGAGGTCTGCATATGCATTCATTCAGGAGGAAATAATAGGAGAAACCTTGTGTTAGAAAATCATCAGAGTTTGTTTAGGTTACTTAGGTATTGAATAGATGTTCAGTTCTGTTGGGTTCCAGCACACAAAGGGGTGAGAGGAAATTAAATAGCAGACAAGATAGCTAAAAAGGCTTTAAGAAAGCAGAATATAGATCAGATTCCATTTGGAAAAGGGGAAGATAAATTAATAATTAAAAAGAAAGAAACAGAATTATGGCAAAAAATATGGGATGAAGATGAGAAAGGGAGAAAATTATATAGGGTTCAAAATCTGTAATTGTTAAAAAATTATGTAGGAAAAAAATTATAATTTATACTAGATTAAGAACTGGACATACCTACTTGAATGGGTTTTTGTTTGTACAAGGGAAGAAAAATAATTATTTATGTGAGGGTTGTGAAAGAAAAAATGTCGATCATGTTTTGATGGATTGCATTAAATGTGCAATTGAAAGAGAGGATGAGGAAGTAATTATGGAAAAGGGAGAGAATGGAGTATTAAATGAATTTTAGGGACAGATGGAGATAGAGAGGAAAATTTGGTTGCTAAAGTAGCATTGTTTTTATTTTTACATAACACAAAAATAAAAAATATAAAGAATATAGTAGGTGGTACTATAGACCTACACACCCATGTACAGTAGGTGGCGGTATGCATCTATAAGCTGTTTGCCATCCGCCAATCTAACAAAGAAGAAGAAGAGGAGGAGGAGGAGGTCTGCATGTTCGGCGCAGATCCACACGGTGGCGCCAAATCCCCTCCTTCGCCATGTCTTAAGTGTGAACCGAGGCAGCTGGAGAGGCTCAGACCTAAATCTGACAGTAAATCCATTTAGCCCGGAGGTGACATGGCCTGAATGATCTCTGCGGGAAGTTTCAGGAAATGCAACAGGTGGAGCAGCCGTGGGGAATAAAGCGTGGACTGCAGTCAGAGTTTTTAAAGTCAGCGGTGTTTTTAATAGAGGAGGGAGGGCGAGCAGGTGAAGCGGTGAACGGTGTGTCAGACCGCTGCTCTTATCCACACTCACCGCCGACAGGAACCGACCGGACCAGGAGGCAAACTATCTGACGGTTGGTCGGTTATTTTCCCCCGAATCTTTACCTCACAATGAAGTTACTGAACAAGTTTTAAGCGCCAGCAGGAAATGAGACGTTAATGTTGAGTAGAGCGACCTTTCTGTCCGTGTATTTAATTGTTTAAAGTTAACCAGAGTGTTTTGGTGGTGATTGCCTCCAGCAGGTCAGGTGCCACCATGGATGACAGCAGCCTGACTGACTCCAACGTTAAGGTCGCAGTGAGAGTGCGACCCATGAACAGGAGAGGTGAGCTGGAAAACAACACTTTAGAAAGAACACTAGCTGCTGATTCAGCTTTACTGGAAATCACTATTTAAAAAACATCTAAACTACCAAGGGCGGTTCTAGACTAAATGTACCAGGGGGCCAGGGGGGGCGCCTCGTTTTCATGGGGGAACAGAAAAGCAGGAAACAAAAAACAGGGTGAAGCATTCAAATGTATTAAAGTCGTAGGAAAGTCATAGTTAAATGTGAAATCATTCTGGCCTAAACATGTATATAAAGGCCTATTTATGCTTCTGATGCGTAGCCTCCCCACCATCAAATCTGTCTCTATGTGCGACCACGCCCCCCACACAGAGGTTTTGCAACCGGCGACGCACACCTCAAAAAAATCCTGACTACGAGTCAGACGGTCGTAAACCTGCGCAGACCTCAAGCGGAAGTGTGCAGACAAAAAGCAGCTGTGATTGGTCCTTGGTATGCCTTTCTGGTTGTCTGTGTAGTCGTCCTTCTCGATTCAGGGGCGCGCCATTTTTAAAAACCAAGGAACAACTACGATAGATAACCTACGCGTCCTCCTTTTGTCTTTTTGCCAACTCCATTAACAGAACCTGTTCCTCTTCGATGTCTAGCTACTCTAGATCCATCTCCGTGATATCTTGCAGATTTACCATTGTTGCTTTGGAAGATAAACACTCCCGCCGGCGCCACACAAGTACTTGTGACCATCCACCAAAGTTCTTGCAAGTTCTCGAATAGGCTCCCCCTTGCGCTTTGGTGAGGAACTGCTGTGCATCCCTAGAAATTCCAGACCGACGGTGCAGAAGCGTAAAAGCAAAACTGGTTCGCGACCAGACCCAATCAACATTTGATGCATGCGGTTGCAGCAGTCTAATCTGCCCCTAAGGCTACATTCTCACTGCCGCCTGAAGTGACCCAAATCCAATTATTTTTTTTGCCCATACGCGACCTGTGTCTGATCTTTTTGTGGCTGTCTGAACAACACAGGTCCAATTTTTTATTTTATTTATTTTTTCCCCCAATGCGACCCAGGCCGCTTGACTCTGTGGTTCTGAATCCGATATGAATCTGATCTTTTCAAATGCAACCTGGTCGCATTCATCCGACCTGAACGCCATTAATACCCGACAAAGGTAACTATTCGGCGTCTTCCTATGAAGAAACGGCAAGAAAAACAACAACCATGGCGGATGATGATGCGGAGAGCAGTATTTATGTTCAACCATCTTGAAAAGATTTTTATGGTAGGGAAAGATCACTAGATGCGCTCCAGCACTACCATCCATGTTTACTTCTGTAAACACAAAGCACGCTGGCCTGTGATGTCATTGTGTCCTCTGCTGCAAGTCGCATATATTTGGAAATGTGAACGGCAACGCAAAAAAATCAGATTTCACAAACAATCGGAATTGAGCATCAAGGCCTGCAATGTGAATATGGCCTAAATGTACTATTTATCCAGGGTTTCCGCAGGGTCATTAAAAATGATTAAAAGTCATTCAGTTATTATTTTTTAAAATTAAGGCCTTAATTGGCATTAAAATTCATTAAATGTGATTATCATGGCATTTAAAATGCTTTATTTAAAAAAAAAATTATAATAATAAGGCTAAGGAAAACAATTTCGTCAGATGTTATATTGCAATATATTTACGTGGAACTGCTCCTGAGAAGAAGCTTGAGGCGGATGAAAAGCTAGAGAATTGGGGGAAAATGCAAATTTCAACAAAAGTGACTGGAAAAAACAGAATCATGGGTACTTGTTGATGGCATAAAATTATTTCTAAGAGCATTAAAAAGCATTAAATTAGAGTTACCCATTCCTGTATAAACCCTGTTATCAGACTATATTGTCCCAAAATTTAGAAAATGTCCATTTAAAAAAAAAAAGTGTCTTAAAATCATTATCTTATGCAAACCAGTTAGTTATACGTCACCTTGTACACATGGAGCCTAGGCGGAAGTTCAATTGAATAAACTGATTGCTCCCCTATATCCACCTATGACTGAGCCAATCAGCTGTGAACCATGCCTCCACGAAAGCCAATCAGCATCCAAAGTTCATCTTAAAAGGCCTCCGATCCACAACTTGTCTGCTCCTGTGCGCAGGCAATGGATGCGCTGTATGACTTCGATTCAGATGACCCCGTTTCAACCCTCCTCCAGCCCCTCCTCCTCCATCTTAGTTAAAACTTCATCAGAGTTTCATTCCTCCCGTCTCTTACTGCGTTTCACGTCTCATTTCAACCGGTCTGGCAGAACACCGCCGTGTTGAGCCTGGTTCTAGCAGAGGTTTCTTCCCAACGGGGAGTTTTTCCTCTCCACTGTCATTTCATGCTTGCTCATCATGGACAGTTTCTCTAAACCTGTGTTATCCAAACCGGACTTCCATCTTCCAGGTCCCTGAGTATCAGCTCACGCAGTCCAGTGGATCTCCCCATAAAGCTCAGTAGACCGTCTCTCTAACCAGCAGTCTACAGACTGACCAACTTCATCTATCTCCACTCCTCCTCCAGTTTCAGGGGCCAGGACTTGATCTACAGGGGCACTGGGCCCTGTTTAGAGCTTCCCATGTAAACTCCCCAAAACCAGAGCTCTTCCGCTTGCTCATGCCTCTGGTGACGTCCCAAATAGCCACGTGAACTGATCGTCTAAAAAAAATGGGGGGTGGGAATAATAATGTTTGGTTTACAAAATGATCATGTTCATGTGGAGAATTTGTTTTAATAGTAATAAAAAAGATATAAAAAACTCAATCATGGGCAGTTCTAAATGGGTGGCCATCAGGGGCCAGTAGCCCTGTACTGAACTGGTCCAAACCCTCGTTATTGTCCCTGTACTGAAAGCACAAGTAGCAAACACATTAAATATCAATATTTGGATTTTTCTTGAAGTGTATTTTACCATAATTTAATAAGGAAGGATAATTTGTAGATGTAATAAGATAGTTTGTTTTAAATAAAAAAATAATAAATAACCCTCCGTTATCTTAAGTGCATATTGTTTTGCATTAAGAGCAGAAATACTCATTCCTTTGTCAGATCATCTTCTTTTCTTGCTCAAATTAAGGGCAAATGCACATATTTTAAGAACATTTTTACTTGTTTAGATCATTTTTTCAGTGCAACTAAATCCATTTCTTATGATGATATGTGATGACAGAAGAGACCGTTACTGATTCATGGACCAATTTAATGCTTTACCTGGACAGTTTACTTTAAAGATTATGTAGAAATTGTAGGCACACTGTCACAGTTTTGTCTGTTAGATAGCAAGTGTGCATCCATGTCGTTGTGGCTCAGTTCTTATACTAAACAATACTCTCGTGTGTTATTCTTTAGATCCAAGTCCCCATGAAAGAACATGAACCCCATCGTTGCCTCCTGGTAAAGTTTGTCTAGAAAGGCCACAATAATCTCTAAATCCATGTTTTATTTAGGTTGATAGAACAAGAGCTGCACAATATGTTCAATCTTAGTGTTTATTCTGATATTTTTGTGTGGGAAAACTGCATGGATGTAATTTGAAGTCTTATGCATGAAAGGCAAAGAAAGCATAGTAGGATGGATAGATGTGCAGCTTATCAAAACTTGTCCCTTTCCTACTTAGTCTGCACCAGTCAAATTGTTTTTTTAATCATCTTCATTTTCATTTTGAAAAGAACATTCCTGTTTTTTAAGGTGTTTGCTTGTATTCTGAACACCGGTAGCTAATCATTTGTTGTGTTTGTGAGACTCCAGGATGTAGTCAAGGCATGTCTGTCATGTGGTACTGAGCATCACAAAAAGAATAACTAACTTCCATTATTTCCAACTAACTTATTAATGGTGTTTTATTTTGAAAAATGACCAAATTCTCTCCATTAAACCCGCCTATCACTCACTGTTGAAGTTTGTTGGGAACAAGGCTTTACGCTTCTGCACCCCCAATCTATTAAAAATTAGTAATAATCAAAACTTTTTGTTTTTTGTTTTACCTTCTACAGAAATGTTGTCTGACATTAAATCATTCCTCTGATGGGGAAATTTAACCTCTAAAACCCACAGGAACTCGTGCCATTGCTTTTTAACCAGCTTGATTCAAGTTTTTGAGTGATCATGTGCAGCAACAGGTGGGGGACAGTCAGCTTTGCTTTTGGGTCTACTGAAAATGTGGAGATGCGGGGGTTATGAGGGGGTTTGAAGTGCTTAAAATCATCGGGAGGATTATCTCTGAGGGGAGAGTTTCCTTTTTTTTGTGAAGGCCGTCAGAATTAATCTGGCTCTAAATTGTAAACTCCAGCTGATTGGCCTCTTGTGATGTCATCAGTAGGGCTGGGTGTTTTCTCCAAACTCCTGAATCGATTCGATTTTGATTCATGCAGCTCTAAATCGATTAATTTCGATTCGATCTGTTTTTACAATAATGAAGGGTTCAGCTGTGTTTCAAAACACTCATGTATTTTTTTTTTTCCTGTCATATTAAACACAAAGTGCAAACTTGTAAATCGGACAGCTTAAACTTGAGATGTGAACAAAACCTCAAGAGTGCAAACTGGTTTGTGAAAAGTGAAAAAGCCTCACTCGAGCAAGCAGACGTGACACAGCAGACATGCTTGAGCTGCATTATCTCCACTGTACAAACCATATTAGCAGCGTTGTCTGTAACAACTACAGGGTGTTTGCTGCTCAGCCCCCATTTGTTAATGTCCTCAGTCAACCTATTGGCTATATTTGCAGCTGTCTGGCTTGAAGTCATCTTGAGAGCATCTTTCCTGCTCATCTGAATGTGAACGTCACACGCGTCACTATAAAACTAATCGATCTCATTCCCTAGACATCGATTTTGTAAGTAAGTGTAAAGGAATAGATTCAAAAATTTATTAAATCGTTTTTTTGGGTTTTTTTTTAACCCAGCCTTATTCATCAGCCCAAATACAAACAAACCGTACCAGTAGGTTCAGGAAAAAAGTGTTTTGTGAAACCCAGATTTTTTCTCTCCATCCATGTTTGTGTTGTTGGTGTAAGTTTTGTTAGTGAGTGAAATAAGCACCACTGGATCGTATCTTTACTGTAAATAAGGCGCCCCTCTTTTCTTATCATGGGCCTGTGAGGAGCGTTCAGGAAATCCCACACCCACTCCCAGTGGGGAGCAGCCAAGCATGGGCCACCTTGGGCGGGTTTCCATGACAGTTTCTATGGATTTGGGACCATTTTAAAGGCTTTTCTGCTCTTAAAAGTTAGAAGCAGGTTTAGCCTGGTCTGGCAGGAGGCCTGCAGTCTAGAAGCAATAAAAACATTATGAGGCCGTCATCTTCAGGAGGTGCTGCATGTTTAATGCACTATTTAATGAATTCCCAGAATCAGCAGCATCAGATTCTCCTTCCATTCATCTAACATCCAACCGCTGAGGCCTCGTGGCTTAAATCCAGCAATGACAGGAAGTGTGGTCGCTGACTCCGCCTCCTGGTTCAGGTAGGAATGAGGAAGAGAAGGTGTGACCAGACTCAGTAGTGAACGTTTGTTTGTTCAGGCAGGTCCTGGGTGACTCATCAGCAGTGCTGCTATTTCCTGTGTGTCTGTTTTGGGATAACGAGGAACTGGCTCACACCTCAGTGACTGCCACCTGTCACCCTGCAGAGCGAGAGTCAGGCCCGAACCTTTATATAATGGTTCCACTTACTCAGGACTAATGCTGACTCAGAGAATCTAAATGTATGCTGTTGTTTTTTCATTATGTTTCCCATTAGTGGTGGCTAACATCAGATGACCGTCTGATATTAGGGTTGTTGAGCTGACTCAGCAGCTTCTATTCCAGATACTTCAGCTTCATTTATCCCTGCATAGTTTGTGTGCTTTACCCAAGTCATGCTGTCACTCTTTATTGATTCTTTTTATATATGTTTTGTCTAAGTTTATCAAAACACGCAGAGATTAAAAGTGGAACCAAAAATTTCAAATCGTCTTTGACAGAACTCGGGAAAAGTTGCGCAAGCTATAAAAAATCAATAAAATACTTATCTTTAGTGCGACCAGCTGATTTAGGAATTTTTGGTTCCCATGCGAGGCTGGTTGTTGCAAGAGGAGTGTCAGGTCTAAGCACCTAAAACATCATACATACATACTGGGAAAGAAAGAAGGCATAGAGACAATTAATTTAGCTTTACTCGTGAGGAGAGTAGGAAGAGACTGCGGAGTTTACAAATCTCCAACCCACTCTGCCGGTCTTCAGCTTTCTCCTCGCTATTTATTGAAGTCAGGGGATGTCCCTAATTACACAAGCTGAGGTTTAACTAAGGGAAAGGGAACAAAATATCTTACTTTAAACCTCAGCACATATGTTAAAACAAAGCATGTGGTTGTTTTACAATTGAATTGTTCCAAGAACACATGTTTAGAAGAAATGTGATAGAGGCTGTTCAGGCCTCTATCACAACCCGTCCGTTGCATGACCTTTATATGGAACGATCTTTAGCAAGAGTTAATAAACGATGTATCACACATTATACATCATAATAGTTCATTAGTACACAACCCATGAAACACAAATATAAATAAAATATTTCTAACAAGGAGACTTTTCTTATTTCGTTAGAGCAACATTTTTATTAATTTCTTGAAATCTAACAATGGAAACAACAATGTGGCTATATCAGGGAAATACCACTGTCTCTATTAGAAAAGACAAAGTTTTCACATTAAAGGTCTGGTTATATTCCCACAGCAGTCTGTCACAGTTAGCTTGTCGCAGGTATGATGCAGATATGCCCAATTTTGAAGCGTGGTCTGCGCTATGTTATTCTACCCCCAACGTAAGAGGGACAATCAAGAACTAGCCAGGATTGTGGGTGTCTGTGTGTCAGTTTGACGAGCTTGTTCGCCGTCTACAAACCCTCATCCAGCGCCAGACAACGCACAGTTCGCCTGCAAGTGTTCCTGAATAACAGAACTGCAAACTAGCATCCTGCATGGTGTCTGGGATAGCATCCAAGGTGTGCCAGGCACTGTGGAAGGCACTACAGCCAGAGTCTCTGCCATTAGTGCTAAACAGGAAATACTCATAGCGTAGAGCGGATGTAGAATATGCCAATCAGAGGCCTCCTGTCTGCGGCCACCTACAGTTTTGGAGAGGGGAGGGGGCATATCTGCCGTAACTGCGACACATGCAGACAATCTGGTTTCTGAGCATAACCAGGCTTAAGTTCTCTAGGACCGTTTATTCATTTTAAGGAAAACAAATATTCAACTTTTGTTTTTAAAGGTCATATCTATTTTTTATCAAATAAAAATTACATAAAAGTGATATACCCACTTTCATTGTAATAATTATACAGAAAAGGGTCCCACATATATAAATGTACTGGTTACAATGTCAATGTTGCAGGAAAGGATTCTGCACCAATAGGAAAGGGTCAAAGTCACATGAGACGGAGGGTCCTTCTAAAAAGCTTTCACAGGGTCAACTGTAAGATCGATATCCAGGCTAGGAAAGGAACTTCAGAGCTCTGCTGAATCCAGAAAGCCTTACAGACATTGCCACAGACATGCACATGAATGACGTTGGTTAAATTGGATCTGCAACCTTCCAGGAAAGATCTACAATATAAAAAAGTTGCTCTAATATAGAGAAAGTCTAAAGCTCTCTGTTATGGAACCAAAAATATATGTAGGTGTGAACATTGTGTCCCACAGAGTACATGTGGAGAAATAATTGCTGAGTTTGAATTCAGGGGCTGCGTCCTTCGAGGGCAGATTCGTAGGCCAATTACGTCATAGCGTTGCATCAAGATCTGTTTGGATTCCAAGACATTATTTGGCCTACAAATGCATCCTCCTTTTGCCTGTTTTGAAGGGTGGGTCCGGTGTATCCTACTTAGCCTTGGGTATCCCGGGATTCATTCAAGTCCAGTATCGGGTATTGCAGACTAAAAAAGAACCCAAACGACTTCCCATTCCTAAGGGGCGGATCCATTCTTTCAGGTCCAGAAAAGACAAAACAAGTGTTTTTGGTTCACTCTATAAAGCCTCGAACTCAACGCTATTTCTGACATTTTGAATTGAAAAAGCTTTCTGGATGGAACGCGAAAAGTAAAAGTTTAGTAGATTATTTTTCAACTTTTTTGGAGTGACTATGATCTGGATGACTTAGAATCTTGACCAGCAAAGTAAAGAAACCTACAAAATGTTCTTTGGATCTGCTATTATTTTAAAATGGTTTTATTAAAATGGTTTATGTGAAACAGGTTAATGGTAATTAAAATAGTTTTGTTTTCCAAAAAAAAGTATTTTTGGGCCTGCAACGACTTTTCTCATGTTATTATAACCATGTTGCAAAAAATGTATGGACCCCACTAGCTGTAATGCTCTGGTCTACATTCTTGATTCGCTCTTATGTCTTTATAAAAAAGAATATGAAGCACGGTGGTGTTAGCATCATGCTGTTGGGATGTTTTGCTTCAGCAAAGATGAAGTGGGCCGGTGTGGATGGAAAAGATGGACTGAATAAAAAACCAGATGCTACAATAGAAGGTTAATGTGTTAGAATTAAGACAAAGCCCAATCCATAGAAAAAAGGTCAGTGAACGTCTTCATCCAGTCTAATTCAGAGGGTTTTTTTTCTAAATGCAGAAAGAGAGCTGAAAACCAAATGTGTGGTGGAGATGGAGGGGAACCAGACCGTTCTGCATTCAGCCATCAGTAACGTGAACAAGGGAGACCCCAGGTAAGCCACAGAAGTTGATGTTGCTCCTCCAGTGACTCCTAGATGTAGAAAAGAGAGAATGATGTTAAATCTTGATTAATGGAAAGTAGAGACTGCAGCGGAATCCTTAATTTAGATTCTTTATGTTTAGAAGCTGTTTCCTAATATATAGACTATTGTTCCTTCTGTTAAAGCAGTGATTCAGTTGAATAATATAGAAACATGTTGGTTAGAAGTACAGAAAAGTATAAATAAAAAGTATCTTTCCCAAAAATTAATTTATCTTTTAAGAAGTTGTGAGGCAGTTTTATCATGAAATAACCAGACCAGGTGTCCGCTGGGAGCATAAAACCAAAGGCACAGGATCAAACAGCGATCGATTGTTCTTACTGCTTAATGTCAGTGTGTTAATATAAGAAAAGAAGGGAATTTACCTTATTTATACATAAATGTTCTATATGGACGTCCAAACCTTTCTCAGGTGGCTTTCAGCAGGAGCTATTTTATCCCCAGGCGCTTTTTCTAAGACTAATTAATACCTCAGATTAAATTGATGGGTGTTTTTTTTTGCTCTTCATTCATTGTATCTTTAATAACGTTCTGATCAGAACAGCATTAGCAGTTAAATGTCCTTTACAATCATTTAAAAGCCAGAGGTCTGTTTCCAAGGTGGATGTTAAAGCCCCACCTGTAAAATATCTATATAAGAGCAATATAATCTCAGTTTGAATCCAGCTGCATTGTGAAAGAGGTTTAATGAAGAAAAAATGGAATTATGGAGACCAAGCGATACAGCAGGGAGGACAGAGGAGAAGCTGTGGATGGTGACTCTGGAGGAGCTGCAGAGATCCTCCGCTCAGGGGATGTTTAAGGTCAATAAAGGTCACCTTAATGGAAAAAGTTTTATCGATTCCTTTACAAAGCCATAAACCAGTATAAGTAACACTAAATGGCGTTTTCACCGTATTTCCGGACTATAGAGCGCACCTCACTATAAGCCGTGCCCATAATTTAAAAACAAAAAGAACTGACACATTTAGGCCGCTAATATCTACTGAACTGTCCCCACCAAACCTGTAGGGGGAGCTCTACATATAGCCCCTGGAGTAGGGATGAAGAAGAATGCTAGCTCCTGTTAGCGTGGTGGCTCGCAGAATTAGGAACTTCTACTGAAAGATGGGCTTTCGTCGCCTCTTTATTTCAGTTATTTATTTTCAGTTGAGCCCAGTCTCCTTATTGGTTCGGAAGCTTTAATGCAGAAAATAAATGCTAAAATGGGTGAATTCAGGAGATTTGTTCTCCGTGGTGCGTGCTGCTAGCATGTTCTTGTGCTAAATGAAAATTAGCCCCTTATTCTTCTATTTCCAACTTTTACCTTCCCCCCTCTGGCGGTTATGGAAAAGTCAACAGAAAAATCTCACGTTCTTAAAAGCCACATGGTTCAAAGCGTGGGAAAAAAGTAGTGGGTTAAGGGCTGGTTATACTCCCGCAGCAGTGTGTCGCAGTGAGCTTATCGCAAGTATGATGCAGTTTTTTTTAATTTATGCTCAATTGTGAAGCGTGGTCTGCGCTATGTTATTCCACGCCACAACTCAGGAGGAACAGTCAGGAACCAGCTGTGGGTCTAGATATGGCCGAGGTGGCGAGGAACTGGGGGCAAGTTTGTGCGACAACCTAGGGACATGAGGGCGAAAAAGAGCAGGGATCCAGGTGGAAAAAAGGGTCCCAGAATTGTTGCGCACCTCGCTCTTCTAGCTGGTCCAACTCCATTAGTCGTGTTCCACAAACAAACAGGAAATACGCATAGCATAGAGCAGATGTAGTTTTGACCAATCAGAGGCCTCCTGTCTGTGGTCACCTACAATTATGGAGAGGTGCAGCAGAATGTCTGCGGAAGGAGGGGGCATATCTGCGTTAACTGTGACACACACAGTTACGACCTGGTTCCTGAGCAAATATAGTCTGGAAAATACGGTACGTCTTAGAACTGTCCAGTCAAAGTCTAGATCCAAATCCAGTTGGGTAGCTTTGGCAGAACCCCAAAATCACTGTTCAGAAGTTCTCTGTTCAGTCTGGTCGGACCAGAGCTGCTTTCTAAGAAGAACTTGCTCAGATTTAGATTTTTTTATACGTAGAAAGCTGAGATGGGAAATGTGGAGTCAACCGGTCATCTCCATGTCATGTATTTGTTCTACCCAGCCACTGAAGCAGATGAGTCCAATCTTCACTGTGACTTAACCTGTGCAGATTGGACTCACCTGGTTAATTGGCTGGGTAGATTAAATACATGACATGGAGATGACTTGTTGACTCCACATTACCCATGTCTGGTAGAAACCAGCTATAGACAGCACCTTAAGGACTTCCAGCCACACTTTTCAGATTCTTTGTTAAATCTGTGTATCATTTCTACTTCACCCTCACAGTTGGTCACATAATATCCCACTAGAAGTTTTTATTTTTCAATGCTGATAGCCTTTTCTGGTTTTTTATATCACATCTGAGCTAAAGGATTAGTCCCGGTCCATTCTTCCTCTGATTGGTGGAAACTGTAGCTTGGTTTAGATCCAGCAGCCTGGAGGACATTTCTCTATCTTCCCTCTCTTTACAGAAGGTGTGTCTGTTGCTCAGGTACTATTAACCCTTCAGTACAGGAGAGGAAAAACGCTGCAAGGAATCTGGTTAGATTTGCTTATTTCTTTCAGAGCCTGATGATGCATTCTAATTGTAAAATCAGCGCGTTTTAAACCGGTCGCTCAACAAGGGTGACTCCTTTACTGAGCAGCTGAGCTAGATTTTCCCCTGGAGGTTTATCATCCAGTCTCACACCTCCTTGCTCAGTATTTCCTACAGGACTCTCTCCTGCAGGCAGAAGGGTGGGACTCTCTTTGTCCAAACATAAAAGCCTTGAATTTCATAATTACTCTTTGCATTTTTCTGCCGTGCGTGTGAGTTTTATCTGCCACAACATGCTCCAGCAGAGGTATGTTTCTCCCTTTGGGGATTGACGTGAACAAGTCCTGCAGGCTCAAGGCAAAACATGCAGCTTCATGGTTGCAGAACAGCACAAAGGTCAAAGAAAAAAACACTGAAAGGTGAACTGCTTTGTTGAGCCAGTTTTTAGGTTTTTATCTGCAGAGAGATAAGATCTGCTTGATGATAAAAGGTGACCTAATGAGTTTGTTTCCTGTCCGTGAATTTCGAGTCCATTAGAGTTTTTTACAGACAAGAAGGGGGATTAATACCGAGTCGTCTCCTTTAACAGGTTTGACCTGAATGTTTGGCGGATGTTCTGACATGAAGCGACTCATTAACACCTGACTCTGTAAACTACTGTGGATACTAGGGAGGGCAGAATCCAGTTTAGCTGTTCAGGGCTGCATGCTGGTGGTCAGGGACTTTCCTCCTCCCCTTGATGTGACTCCTCGGTGATCCGAGGCACGGCCAGTTATCTCAGGAATGTTCTGGCCAGCGCAGGAGAAAGGAAGACTTAATGTTGCTCTTTCATAGAGCAGTGAGTTCTCACACAGAGGCCTTGTTTCATTACAGCTCATCTGTTTGTGTGGCTAGGACTACAAGCCCTAAATAGCTATTTCTGCCTGGGTGAAGGTAATCGTTGATGCATTTAAGGGTGCAGAAAAGTGTTATTTCTGCACACAAAGTTGTGCTTTTTGACTGTTTCTCCAGCAGCGACACTGCATCTTTTGACTGCACACAGCGGTTTTCATGGAAACTGGAGCTCAGATTTCTGTGAAGCCATCCTGCCTGCCATGAAACCAGTGCTTCAGTT